TGGTATAATAATTTTTTGTGCACTCATAAATTTCATCTGACATTTCTTCTCTGAGTAGCAGTGAGAGTTTATTTTATGAAAAATAAATTTTGAAGGAATGGGGATTTCATCTAACGGAAAAGAGATGAGCAAGAAAGGAAGCAGGAAAACTCCAGAAGCTTCATGCATTCTCTTTCACTCCTGTTTATCTCATTTGTACCTTGACAGATAGCCTCTGCACAAAACTTCATGAGCCTTGGCCGCTTCCTCGTGGGTGGCCACATGGACTTAACAGCAGTGGGACCTGAGATTATTTAGATTGGACTAAGTGTCAAGGCAAATATGTTCGCCTGGCTGTCTCCTTGTCTTATCTGGGTGGGCCGTTTAGACGTTCCACGAAACAGTTTTTCCACCTGGAAAAAAGTATAAAAGTAATAACCTCATCTGATTTTCAACATTAAGATCTGGAATAAATAAAACAGTATATGTATTATGTTATTGAACATAAAGGATTATATATATAATACATATAAACAAAAACTATACTCCTTGGGTATTTAATCTGAAATTTTGTAAATATCAAGTGATATCAAAGTCTATGTGGTAATGCTTTATGAATTAACTACACTTAGGGAAAGGATTAATCTGATGACAAACTTACATATTAGAATAGCTTGACATATGCTACATACCTATAAATTAATATAGAGGATATACTATTTCCCAGAATTCCTTCCTGTTTTTAATCTCCAGCTTAAAGCTCTATGAATTAGTGTTAAAAACAGATTCCCAAGCTGCATCCTATTTTCTGATTCAAACTCTCCAGAGTGGGCCTAGGAAAGGCTTTTATAAGCATTCTGGACACTCATGGGTAACTTAAAAACAACTGTTTGGTTTTCCTACAGAACAATTGGAGGATGGGGTCTATGATAAAATGCAGCTTCGCAGGGCCCTGTCAGAGACAGAGGAAATCAGTAATCCTTGGTGTGGACCCCAGAATAACAGTTTTAAAAATCTTTTCTGGGAAATTTTATGAAAACCATTGCTTTCTTTAGCATGATGCAGTAGAGCCAAATTGAACTTGTTTTATTAAATTCTGAGGAACTCATTACAAGGACATTAGATGAATGCAAGTAATATTTATTAGTACTTTTACTGCTTTTTCTTATAGACATTATATATTCATTCTCTTTAGTCTCCATTCAAGTTACTGAATAAGTTCTTCAGAAACAATGCAAGAGAAAACTTTAAAACTGCTTGCAGTTTTTCATTTATAAAATATTTAAGAAAATGACTAAGATTTATTTTCCAAACACTAAATACATTTAAAGTTTTCAAAAGTTTATGAAATTTCTCCAGAAAGTACTCAGTTTATTGTCCTACTATCAATATTTGAATTTTATATTAAATTGAAAGTATTATTTCTAATCCATTGGATACTTTTTCAAAAGAAGGTTTTGTTGTTTTATTATATTTTACTAAGTCAGTAACTTTATATTAGCAATTTTTGGTCTGAAAGTTCTGATATTTTACATTTTTCTACTTTTAAATCTTTTAAATCTTTTACTTTTTCTACATTTAGCACTTAATTTGAATTTGTATGGTTACTATTCCTCTTTTAAATTCATTTCTATTTTTCACCTTTAAAAATTAGATCAATGTTGCATATTTTCGTTATTATTAATGGTTCTCTTCCTCATCATTAGAAGACATGGCAATTCCCTGGCCTTGAATTTTGAAAACCAAAGGACATTTACTTACATTTAAATAAGAAGCTGGGAACCTGTTAGGATTTGCTATTTTATATTTGTTCATTTTGTTTTTACTTACAAAAAATGTCACTTTTACTCCCCTGTTGATCGCAGTCTCACATTGGCAGGCTGTGACTAGAGAGCTCTATTTCTGTAATCAGTGGAGAAGGTCTATCAGTCTCTCCATCCACTCATGAGCACTGGTGGAGACGAGTACACTTGCCCTTGCCTCTGTGAGCTGGGATCCCTTGGTGTCCACTCTGTCACACCCTAGGACATCCATACAGTAACTGTGCTGGTGACACACTAGATCCTACCTGTGCCATTCTGCTGGTTAGTGCTGAGGAACATAAACTAGGCTAATCACCTTATCCTCAGAAAAAAATTACTGATCAACGTTAGTGAAACTAATTCAGTTGATGCTACACTTTCCACATATACAGAAATACGGGGAATATACAATGAGTATGTTTTGATTGGCCAGAAAATGCATATAAATTAGAGGGAGAAGTAAGATATTCAGGGATTTGACAAATGGAGAAATAATCTAAGTCTTAACAGAGGCAACTTAGGGCCTTTTTCTGGATGATGAGAAAAAGAAAACTTTGAGGCATCACAGAAGGCTTCGTACAAAACAGTAACAGTTGGGCAGAGAGTTAAAGAGTGGATGGGGTTTGGACCTGATGAGAACAGCTGGGGGGTTTCTAGGTAAAGGGAACAGAGAAAGAACTGGAGGAGGTGAGGAATAGTCCAGAGTACAGGGTGATTTGGGAAGTAGCTTCACTGAAAATGTGGGGGAACTGATGATCATCTGTATTACGGATAGAGTTAAGAATGAGCCCATGTCACAGATAACTGAGAGAATTAAGAGAAGTGAAATGACTTACAAAGGTGAACAGCCCCCTTGACTCCAAGGTGAAGCGTGTTTCCTGCCTTTGGGATATTAGCGGGTTGCAGAGGGTCAGGCATACATAGCACAGGAACTGGAAGGCAGTGACACTGTTTTCCAACCACAAGATAAAGACAATGAGGACCTCCTTCTAGGGTGACAAGTTCCTTGGAGAAAGTAGGTTAGTTAATCTTTCCACCCCCTGAGTCCAAAGTCCCCTGTTAATTCTGCCGGTGCCTTTTGTAGTAAATCACAATGTGTAATCTCACAGTTGTGAGAATGTCTATTTAACATCTCTCTCCCTTTCTAAGCAGTAAGGACCAGGGTTGCAGGGTTGTTCATTTTGTTTTTACTTACAAAAAATGTCACTTTTACTCCCGTGTTGATCGCAGTCTCACGTTGGCAGACTGTGACTAGAGAGCTCTATTTCTGTAATCAGTGGAGAAGGTCTCCACCAAACCATCTCCACCAATAGTAACAGTGACTAGATTTAAGAATGAATGTTGGGCAAATAAGTGCAGGCTAGAGAATGACTTAAAAAAACTCAGGTAGAAAACTGAGTGGATGGGATTGGCATGAGTAGAACAGGGGGTAGGAGACATTTTTTTGAACTATTTCAAGAAGTGAAGTGAGGGGATTGTGCATTGTATAAAGAAAGAAAGTCAGAAAAAGCAGCTCACTGTAAAAAGACGTGTGTGATGTTCTGTTTTTAACATTTAACACATTTAATTTAATATACTGTATTTCACTGTATTTACCAAAAAGCTCTGCTAAGTCAATAGATTATGGTTTTAGTTCCACTCTTTTTTCAAAGAATTTTTAAAATAATTAATCTGAGTCAAATTAATGAGTATTCTTTTCTTTTTCAATTAATTGGTCATATTTTAAAAAATATATTATCCAAGGTTACACCCACTAAAACTGTGACCTTTGATAACAAATGACCATAGCAATCTGGTCATTATTTGGGCTTTTTGGAGTTTTTTTTTCTCCTTAATTGAACTAATTTGCAGGAGAGTTCTCTTAATTTGGGTGATATTAGTCTGCAGGTTCACAAATTTTTGAAATAAGAACTCACAACATAGCTAATGCCCAAAACAAATTGTCTAAACCTCTGGCTCTTTATTTACCTTAGCAGATGGAGAGCAATAACCAAATTACTATCCCTCGTTTGAAATGAGTTTCTCATTTCCATCAGAACAAAATAAGCCCCTTTTAAAAAATCCATAAAAATTTATAAAACGTATTCTGAATCAATAAACAAACTAAAAAGCCCAAGATGAGAGTTTTAAATTACCTGTGTTGATGTAGGATGAATAGCAGTGGAAGGAAATGCTGAAAATATAGAGAACTACCTCTGAGGCAGAGATTGTTTTCTGTGTGTTCTTACCCTGTCTACAAACAAAAACTTAAAATGGAATAGTTCCAGACCAAGAAGTTCGGGGAAAGTTTGCTACCATTAGATTTTTTTTAATGGAATTAGTGAGATATTTTCTAACTGTCCATATTCACATCTCAAGAGTTGAAATCAGTACCCTAGAAAATATATATAGCTATTTAGTTTGTAAAGTGAGAACCCAAGCTTTAATCTTAATAAATATGCCTTTTAAAGTATAAGGAGGGCCCACCCTGGTGTCACAGAGGGTTGGAACACAGTACTATGAAGCTGGTCAGGGCAGCGTCAATCCCTAGCCCTGGAGTTCAATCCTCAGCCCCAGAGGTGACCCACATGGTGCAGCAGACCTCTCCTGTCTCACCTGCTGCTCCCATCTGCAATATACTTTGTCTATCTGCCTGTTTTGCTCCTTACTCTGTCTCTGGTGGGTCCTCTCACCACCCCTGTAACTTTGGTCTGTACCCCAGTTCTGTATGCATAAATACATAAATACATAAAATCTAAAAATAAATAAATAACATATATTTTTAAAAGTATAAGGAAGGTAGTACAATTATATTCTAAAGTGCATCTCAAAACAAAAGTTAGCCTTCTATACCAACATAGGACTTGCCTATAACCAACAATTCTGAAAAAAAATTTAAAATTTTCTCCAAGAAAAAGAATTACAATACTCTGAAATTCAGGAAATGTCTCATACAGAAATGAAAAGAGATGTCAGTGCTGTGAGATTGGAGAATTGCCTCTCAGTAACCTAGTGTACTTAGGACTCACCTACTTCATAAACTGGTAACCTTCAATAGAATAACAACAGTGATTATAATTCCTGAAACAAGAAAAGCACAGAACATGACCCATCAAAATTCAAAAAAGTAACAAAGCCCACCTTATTTTGTTTTACTCATGCATACACATTTGAAAAAGAGGCAACCCAAAGCTTCATATTTATTTTTCTAAAATCATGTTAATTTCTTATTTATTTCAGGCATTACTAGAGACTCAAAATTTACTGCGCACTCAGGTTGCAAATTTTACCTTCAACCTTGGATTTTCAGGGAAGTTTTACCACACAGGTAAGAAGGAGCTTTGTGTTCTCAGGCAGTTACATATAAATAGGAGAGAGGATTTTAATTGTTTCATAAGTAGGAGAAATAGAATATCCATACTGATAATGGGGAAGTTTTGGTACATTATGTGAGTAGCCAAATCCAAAATCAATGAGCTTGTTTACTTTGGCAAATGCTGTTAGAATCAAGGGCAAAAGAGGAGGAGAATTAACATTTCCAACTCAATAAAAGAAACCACACCGTTATTCTAAGTGTGATTCTGCCTCTTGTTCAATAGAGTCTAAGCAGAAAGCATGGAGATGGTGATGATGATCACATATCAACAATAGTCATAGACAGTGTTTCACATTGTTGGATAGTGAAGGTGACAGACGTTTCAGCACATACTCTTTTTCCTTGGAAAACATCTGCTGATGAGGGAAAATTTATAGTCCCACAGTTGACTGGACTTTAAGGGTTGTCTTGTGTAATTGCTCTCCCTCACACAATTTTTCCCTGAAAATACTATATATGATCTGGCCCGATATGTATTCAAACCATTACAGCTTGGTTTGTGTTTCTTTCCATTTTCATCCACTTACACTTGCATTTCAGCTCAGGCTCAGCTTCCTCAAATTAGCAAAATGTGACTGTTGTCCATGTACTGCTCTGTGTTCTGATTTTTCTCACCCTTTGACCCCTCTTCACCTGCAGAATTTGCCTCTTACTTTCTGAGTATCAGCATGAGGATGTCTGGCACCCATATCGGTTATATGCTTAGAAGTTGAATGTCCCATAAAAATCACAAGAAGGGTCAAAAAGTGGTGTGTAAGAGCTGTGCGGAGGCAGTACCATCTCTGCGCTCCTGTTTCAGCATTACTAGTATAAGATGTAATGCTTTATTTAGGTCTAACCAGGGAGTTCCCTGGATGGTCACAGTGAACACATCCCATTGTATTATCTATGCATGCACACAGTTTTATTGACTCATTAAAAAATATCCCAAACAAAAGTAATATTATCATAAATGCAGCTCATTTACCCAAAGTGGCCCTTTTAAGGTTTACCCAAAATGACTCACCATGGTTTATTAGAACACTGAAGCAACATACCTTACTGATTTTTCCTTAAGGCTTTTTCCATCCTGCTTTGAAATATTGAAACCTGTTTAAAATAATAGAAGAAAAATTGGTACTTGAATCAATCGATAAATCACATGATTGAATATTTTAAAAGGACATTTTGTAGAAAGAGATTTGGGTCATCATATCTGCATAAGCAAAGCAATTCCAGCTTACACTTTTGAAAATAGACATGGCTTTGTAAATATTCTTCAGAAACCCCTTAAGAAATGAGTTCAGACCTAAGAAGCTCTGACTAAGAAGTTATAAAGCAGATAACTCTCCAGGCTCTATCTGCTCATGGAGGAAAAAAAAAAAAATTGTGGGATTATTTGGAGTTCACACACAAACAATACTATTTTGTCTTAAGTAGCTTTATAGTGTAAGTAAAACCATTCTTTTGGCTGAAATGTATCTGGATAACTGCATCAGATTTTATTTGCTTTTCATATTCAGACCTATTAAACCCGTCAGACGTTCACTGACTTAATGTATCAGTAGCAGTATATCAGTACCAAGTAGTTTATACCATTTCCAATTTCTTCTTTATAATCCTGAAGTTATACCCAATACATATCTACTAATATCAAGGGATAATTCTTAGAGGCAGATACCTCCCCCAAAAGATGTATTTTAATTATATCTCTTAAATGGACCTTACTGATTCTTTATGTTGTCGCTAACCTAATAAAATTAATAGAACACTTTACTGTGTAGTTATTATAGAGAGTAAGCAATGTAGCATTTTGTAAATCCTAAATATTTCATTCCCTTCCCATAAATTTGAAACTTTAATTCACTTGCTACTTTATGTGCAAAATCATTGCAACATATGCAGAGCATACTTCAAAGACTGTGATTATTTTTTATGTTGAGTATTTATTAAGTCACTCAAAGATTCTGAGATTTCTTCCAGTGGGATGTCAAATAGGCGATAGAAACATCAGGAACCCATGATACTCCCCTAGCTAGTCATGTTACTACCTGAAACATTAGGTGAGCAGAAAAAATAAAAATCAGAGAAGAGCTTCCTTTGCACACTTGGCTGTGATGTGAAACCATGAGGAGAAGGCCTTGTTGTATTGTCTAAGCTCTCTCAGGACCATCTGATTTCCCAGTGCATGAGAATGCTGACCGATGAGTCTCATGGTTTTGAAGACATTAATCACATATGCCCAGGATAATACGATAGATTCTGCATTACTTAAGCTGCTTTGCTTATTTGTATTTCCCATGTATTCTCTCCTGTTTGGTTTCTCTGTCCTTCACATGCGAACAACAATCTCTCCCCAGAAGAACATATCATTAAGCCTTCCCTAAAAGTCACTCACTCACTCTCAAAAAAAAAAAAAAAAAAAAAGTCACTCACAAGTGCAAAATTGAAAGAGGAAGGACCTACTGTTGATTAAAAGGGAAAAAAAAAAAAACCATGGAGTTTTCAGTAAAACCTCTTAATCTGGAAATGTTTAAAGCTTTATTAGAATTGCACAATGAAAATTTGAGACATGACAGCACTAAGATGCCTTATAGTAATGCAGACTAGAAATGTGATTTTCTGTAGAACATGATTTCTGGTGGCAATCACTGCCCTTCCTTATAATTAATAATAAACTCATTAAGACTTAATTACTTCACAAATAATATTTTCAAATTGGGTTAATATCAGTCTGTTCCATAAAAAAGGGTCATAAAAAATAACCCTTTACATGAAAGTATTAACATTCAAACATGAAAGTAAACTAGCTTTATGTTCGTTATTCTAAATTTTTTTTTCTTTTCTGTATAAAGTATTAGTTTATAGACTAGAGGTTGGAAACATTGCCTTTGTTTAAATCTAGGCTCTGATAATATCACTAGTTCTGTGAAAATAAGCAGGTTACTTAAGCTTTCTATGCCCCACAAATGGGGATAATACTAAGAGTGATGAAAATAACATCTCTCATCTAGATGAGTGCATAGAATGCTGTAAGTGCTGCATAAGTAGTATTATTACATTGTGAATTGTATATGAATCAAGAATTATCAAATAAAGTGAAGCACACAGAAATTATATGACTTTTCTAACATTGGAGCTATCAGTAGCTTTTAATTAAGGTTTATCACCATAAACATTTTGTGTAGTATAATACTTAAAATGTGTTTATACTCACCTGTAGGAATACAGCAGATTCAATTGCAATGTAAATTATAATGAGAAAATATAAGACAGAAAATTGTTCAAAACTTATAATGCAGACACTGGAATTGTACATCTTATTTTACTGTAGCTTTGCCTTATGAACATTAACCTATTTCCCATATGTTCTAAAATTACAGTTACTTTGGAAGATTTAAAGAACTTTTAGAAGAATACTATTTTCTCCTAACAGGTCCTCCAGAAGTGATAAAAAGGAATAAATTCTTAAATATTTTATTTCTTGGGAAATCTAGAAGTAAAAGGATGTAACTTTAAATGAGAACAACAACTATATTTTTAATTCACAGTGATAACAATTTAAATCAGATGAGATTATAACCGGGATACACTTTAGTGGCCTGTAACTCTTATTAAATATGACCATTTATGAACTGGAAGTTAAATTTTCACATGAAATTTAAGCTTAAAGTATATATAGAAAATAAGGGTTTATAACAAGGCAAATTTTTAATATTATCATTTAGTTGGATTTGAAAGCATTGTTCCCTCAGAATTATCTTTCCATCATTAAACTCTTTCTAGTGTTCCAATTTTCTTCATGTGCCTTTGAATTATATAGCCTGTATAAATAAGGTTGAAAGACTGATGGGAATCAATGCATGAAGTGAAAAAAACAAACAAACAAACAAACAAACAAAAAACTTCAAACTCTCCACTTTTAATATCAATACAACCTCTAGCATTGAAAAAAAATCTTAAGATGTAATGGTCAGTCATACATCTGTTTATATCAATAATCTACAAAAGAAAAATTTTAACTGAGTAATTGACTTTCCTGGGGGCAAGTATTTATTATGTGCTTCCTGCCACTTCCAATAACACTCATTGTAATTGAAAGTGAATGGCACTACCTCTCAAACATTCTGTATTCTGAGCACAATAAAAGGTTGGGAGAAATATCAAATCACTCATTGCATATGACATCAAGTAACTTTTTCTAATCTATGTCTTCGTCTGCTAAATTATGACCACAAAAACATCTGGTGTATAGCATAAAAATATTTCATGCTTAAAATCCTTCTGAGGAAGTGATAAACTTTTCTTCATTTGCATTTCAATATTTGATATTAACAAAAGTCAGTGAATTGTAAGTCAGTGGTACTAACAATTTTAGCTGAAGTCAACAAAAATTAACAGAATTCCATCTGTTCATCTTATTCCTCGATCTTTGGATTCTAGATCTTTGTAAAATTCTTAGAGCTTTCAAAACTTCAATTTAACTTCTGACTGGTAGTGACTGTTATAGTAGTAATGGTGCCAAAATCGATTAAAACCAGGGGCCCTTTCACCTTTTAAGGACTATATTATTTCTGCATCTCACAAACAATGCATCTGCATAAATACAATGGTTGGTATGTACTTCAGCAGACATATGAAAGCTTTAGAATTCACTAACTTTACATTAACACAGACTGAACAAAATTATTCCGTTACTCTCTGTTGGGGAGGATCCATTCCCAGCATTAAGAAATTAGTAATCCTGGCAGGAAATGTTTTTGAGAATGTGTGAAAATACATACATTTTGTAAACTGTAGGTATAAACCAGTATTTATTTTTTATCTTTAAAGGAGCTTTAAAGTAATATTTCAAATAGCAGTTTTCCATAGACATTTCACCCAGATATTATTTTTAAGAAGACAAAGGCCCTACTATTTATGAAGTGCTTACTATCTGCAAGTCACAATTTTAATCATTTTTAAAAAACTGATTTAATTGACTCTTCAAAAATGTCCTATCACATAGATTTTTACACCCCCATTTGAAACTGGGAAACAGAGACTCAGTGAAATTAACTTGTCCAGGATCACATAGTCAAGTAAATAGCATACACACAGGCTCCACTTCGGTTATTGATGGACCCCAAATATGCACCAAAACAAGTCACTATAGACTTGTTTTATCCACTAACTAGCGCAACAGTGAAATCTTTACTATATGACACAAACATGGAATATTAAGAGATGTTTCTTTCTTACATTTAATAATTATCCAACTAAATAGTACAAGATCAAATAACCTTTTATTTGTTCCCTAACTCTATAGATCACATTTCTGGACTTTTCACACTTCTTCAATAAAGACGTATTCTTTTTGTCATCAGAAAAAAACATCAGCAAGCCAGTTAAATTCCAAGATCACACTTTTATTTTTCCAGAGAATTATACTATTTCCATTTTTAACTTTACACACACACACACAATAGTTTTTTTTTACATCATTTTGTGCCCTTTTCCATCTCAGTTGTAATCCCCATGGGCTTCCCATCACCAAATCACCCGTGTGCCATCACCATAGTCCAGTGCACTTCCCTCCCCCCACTGTTTTTGATCCCATTCCCCACTCCCCTCCCCCATAAAATGTCTCTGGTACATAGCCATTATTATTATGATTATTTTCTCATGTGTAGGAATTACTTCTAAAAGTAAAAAGAATCATCATTTCTAATCAAGAGCCCCCTCCGCATGCAATAAGAGAATTCATGGCTGACACCTTCAAAACAAAAATAAAATGTATTTGAAGAACTAGGTCTACTTTTTTAGTATCATCATATGCTAGTAATTGTGAAGAATGCCAGGGAGAAAATAAATGCCCCAAGTTCCAATTAAACTGTCTCTACCTGTGATAACCACACCTTCCCTCCCCATCCCAGCCCTGACCCCTTTGTCACTCAGATAATTGTAACAATGCTCATCTTTTGGTCAAAACAGCACACATAGGTGTATGTCTCCATGGTAAGGACAACAACAAAATCTGAAAAATATCACCTTTCCATACGTTCAGAGGCCATCTTCACTTCAGCTGTGTTTCTCTTGCTGGGCACAGGGACTGAAGAGGAGGATGAAGGGGATGACCTGCTGCTTCGGTCAGTGGATGAGTTCTGGTGGTTCCCCCACATGTGGAGCCACATGCAGCCGCACCTCTTCCACAATGAGTCCTCCCTGGTGGAGCAGATGATTCTCAACAAGGAATTTGCTCTGGTGAGCACATTGCATGGCAGTATTTCTCAAACTATCAATTGCAACATATGAGTGCACCATAAAATCCATTTATGGAGTGGAGTCCCCTCTAAACAGAATTGCACACATGCATACCCCGTGGTAAGAGTCCTCTGTTTCATATTATGTCACTTCAGGGGTGTGTAATTGTTTTGAACCACAATAGAACGTGAAATGTATTTCAATAAGTCAGTCATTGTCAGGTTTCATCTCCTGCTTTATGGAAGGATTATTCTTGCATCCATGAAGAAGAAAAATGGTTCTTTGTATTCCTTTGTATGCCTAGTGCATTAGAATTGCCCTTTCAAAAGCATTTCTTGCAAGGATGAATGAATAGATGAGTGAATTCAATCATATCAATTACTCCACCGCAGTGTCTCACTGGGAATAGGTTCTGAGAAATGTGTCTTGGGGAGATTTCATCCTTGTGTCAATGATACAGAGTATGTCTTATTCTCCAAAGAGTGCTTCTCAGTTTCACTGGTCTAGCAATTCGGGAGGGTTCCTTTGAAGAGGGTCTCAGTGATCCATGAGTTATTATTGCTTCTGTGCTGCTCTGAAGTCACCAGGCAAGAGAAATTTTGAGCCACTGCCACGTGATGGAATCCATTGTTAACCAAAACATCATTATGTGACATGTGATGGTGAGCCCAGGGCTCTCAAACGTGTGCATGTATCTTTCCCACATTGAAGATTTTCAGCCATCGAGACTGGCAATGTCTTTCTTGAGCTTCTGAGTCAGTAGATTTTCAGAGGCCTGAGAATTTGCATTTCTAGCAAAATGTCGCTGGTGCTGATGTTGCAGGAGCCAGGCTCTGGGTCAGAGGTTGGCATACGGTAGCCCATGGGTGAGATCTGGTTTTCTGCTGACTTTGTATTATGGTTTCTGACCTAAGATAGTTTTGTTCTTTAGGTTTTATTTGCGTGTGTGTGTGTGCTTGTGTGTGTGTGTGTGTAAGATTAATTTATTCATACAGAACTGGGGTACAGGCCAGAGATGTGGAGGGTGAGAGGATTCACCAGGGACATAACGGGGAGCAGAATAGGCAGATCTATGAAGTACACTGCTGAGGGGAGCAGCTGGCGGGTCAGGAGAGGTCTGCCACGCCATGTGGTCACCTCCGGGGCAGGAGGGGATCGAACTCATGCGGAAGCGGCTTAAACTTCTTAGTTCAGTGCTTTAACCCACTGTGCCACCAGGGAGGGCCTAATTGTGTATTTTTAAGCGACTGAAAAACAAAGACAAAAAACCCATGTTTCTTTGATAGCCATCAATGAAATATTTCTGGAATACCTCACTAGTCTCCCTTATATGTGGTCTGCTACCACTTTTTTAAAAAATGTATTTATTTATTTATGCATATAGAGCTGGGGTACAGGCCATAGGTGCAAGAGTGGTGAGAGTATTCCCCAGAGGCAAACTGAGGAGCAGAACAGGCAGATCAATGTAGCACACTGCTGAGGAAGCAGCGGGTGAGACAGGGGAGGTCTGCTGCGCCATGTGGGTCAGCTCCCTGGCCGGGATCAAACTCATGCTGCAGTATCTGCCATAACTTCATAATGCTGATAGGTAACCCTTTCCCTGCCAGGGAGGCCCCCTGCTGCTGCTTTTGCATGGCCATAGCAGAGTTGGGTAGTTGGAAAAGGAACTGTCTACCCCACAAATCCTATTACATTTAATACCTCCACCTTTACCAACAAAATACACAGTGCTACTCTAGACAGCAACTCATATATCCATTTAACAATCTAAAGAAACATAGAAATATTTTCCCCAGAAAAATACACAGATACACAGTCTCACTTTGCACACTTTCACCCAAAAGTGTCCCTCTGTCTTCAAGATGTCACTTAAAATAAGTTGTTCACTTATACAATTGATGGCTGATATAGTTTAAGCCATTTAAGAAGTTGTAGACTTTCTTTGTCCAAATTATTCCTTATTATATTAGTGACTCACTTTCTATCTATATGGCCAACCTGTGGCATGATGCTCAGAAGTACATATGGGCAGGATAAAAGACAGCTGTGATTGCAAGCTAAGACACCAGAATGCCCATGTTTCAATTCTGACCTTCCATCAATGGCTGCTTGACCTTGAACAAATATTACTGAGTCTCTCCGTATCTCCATTTCTCCTCCTGTAAGTATGAGGATTATAGTAACAATGACCTCTTAGGTTTGTTCTGTGGAGCTGTACACTGTGCTTAGACAAGGAAGGCCTGGCATTCTGTAAGCCCCCAGTAATCGTTAACCAATTATGATCTTTGTAAAGCCACATACAGTTGCAATATACAGTTATGTTTTGTTTTTGAAAAGCCAAATGTCTAATAAAATTGGCACAGCATCATAGCATTGTAAAATTCAGTCATTGTTCCCTTTTCAAAAACAAGGCTTAACATGAGTGTACATGTTGAATTTTCTCAGAGCACTACCTTGAAAATGAACTGCGTTTACCATTTAGCTTAAACCCTCCTCACTTCATTTCCACTCTGAAGCCTTGCTTTCTAGGACTGTTGGTTATATTTCATAATGGTTGACTTCACCTGTTTGTGTAGTTTTTTAAAAGCCATGCTAAGAGTGTTAGAGAAGACTCCGATGTAATTGCTTTGTAATGAAACGTCAAAAGCTATTTAGAGTCTATTCAAAACAATTACATTTGTTGAGTCAGTTTGGATAGAAGCTAGACTGAAACCTATAAATATATTTTGGAAAAAAAAACTCACTATAGGCTGCATAGTCAAAGTTTACAATTCAAATGCACTCTGTTTAGCACATATAATGACATATTGTCCCTTCTGGAATTCAGCTCAATAAAATTTCTCAAGACTTCAAGCAGTTGCATCTGGAACCTGCTTTCATAGTGAACACAGGATCACAATATATGATTGTCCAAGAGTCATGAGATGCATTTCTTTCTTCTTAAATTAATCTTTCCATATCCAGAAGATACTTCCAGATTATCCATAGGATTAAAACAGGATGGGATAGTGGAAAACACCAAAAATATAATAGTGTCTCAAGTTTAGTGCTGACTGCTAGTACAAAAGTTCTAATAAGTTGGAAACTCATTTAATGTATCCATGCCTCCGTTTCCTCCCCTGAAATGGTAATGATTCCCCTTTTTACTCTCTCAACTACAAAGCTTTTAGGTAATTAATTTATATCAGTTCATCTGTCAACCAAAAGCACTGAACCAGATAATGCCACTGATCAATTTCAATTCTAAAATTCTGTGATCACTCTTCTATCAGTTAACAAATTCGGAACGAACAGCTTGAAATATTTATCTAACTGCAATTGAAGCAATTATGGAAGAGATTTTCAAACTAAGTGACCAATTTATACTGAAAAAGTGTTTCAATCTCTTTTTTATTCTACCCTGACATTTCCCACGATTCCTTGGAATGACCTTGTTGGCAAAGGGATAACAGTGAAAAGCACAATTGTTCTCATAACATTTACCAAAACGATTCAAGTGATGCATTAAAAATTGTATATTAAAAAAAAAAACACTGATATTTCAAAGATAGCATATCAGAATGTTTTTCATTGTTGAATTTTTTTGAATTCTCTCTGGCTCAAGTTCCTTTTTCATTATATGTTTATGAAAAACATACTGTGAGTTTCCTTTTTTAAGCTATTTCATTATGTTAGAAGAATCAAGGGTGGTCATATCTTCAACCATGCACATTTGTACATGCCATGTGAATGTATGTGTGTTTGTGCAGAAGGCAAGTGATATGCTCTTAATCTGTGAGCTCATATATATGCAGCCTTTCTGTGAGCGGATGTGGTTGTGTGTGCATATATCATGTTATATGTTATGTGAGTGTGTGTGTGTGTGTGTGTGTGTGTGTGTGTGTGTATAGAGGGTGTTTAATTGATAACTCAATGAAAGTTACTACATTTCTGGCCTTCCCTGGTGGCACAACGTTTTAGGATGTAGCACTGCAAGCTGGCTGCAGCCACTTCTGTGAGAGTTCAATCCCTGGCCCAGAGGTGACCCACATGGGCACAGCAGGCCTCTCCTGCCCCACCCACTTCTCCCCTCAGCAGTGTATTTTGTTGATCTGCCTGTTCTGCTCCCCACTCTGTCTCTGGTGAATCCTCTTACTGCCCCTGCACCTCTGGCCTGTTCCCCAGTTCTGTATTCATAAATAAATAAATCTATAAAAAAAGAAAAGAAAGAAAGAAAGAAGCATTTGCATTACAGCAGTGTTTTATTTTCTTTCTTTTAATAAATCATAGCATTTTTGCTGCCATTCCATTGCTTAGTTGCTTCATATCATGGAAGCAACACTTGAAAGATGAAAACAAAACCACAGAGTGATGAGAATAAGAAGCCTTACTTAACATTAAAGTAATTAATGAAAAAAACACCAAAAGTCTTTCCTGGCTAAACCCATATGCCCTTTACAAACAGAAAGGGATAGGTTTCTGAATGATCAACTTTTCTTCCACAATAGATTTGTGGTGGGAAAAAAAAAAAGAAAAAAATTTTGTTGTTTTAAGTTTAGCACAGACTCATCGAACTTTCCATATGAATGGAGCCTTTGAGATCACTTACAGTACTCGACTATAAAATACTCTGAAAGAAAAAAAATCACATCTTTGTCTTTGATGCTAATATGAGTTTTTCAATAATGTAATGGTGTGTGTTTTTTATTATATTTCATCAAGCAGCTGTATAGCTTATTCATGTGTGAAGAGGTGAGTGCTCTTGAAATAGGTAGTTTTTAGATTCTGGTTTTAAAATGCTACATGTATCTATAAACTTCCTACAGCTTTTCTCATAGGTAGACACAATATTTCTGATATGAAACATGCTGGTATTTAAATCATTAAATACAAACTCATCAAAAGTGGAAAATCTTTTTGTCTTCTGGTGGTCTACATGCTAACTCAGCTCTGTAGACATGTATGCTGAAAAATACAGGCCCTCCCTGGTTAAAGCACAGCACTGAGAAGCTAAAAATCAC